CCTTCCCTTTTCACCCTCCTCCTACAACTGGCTCTTTCCACATTCGAGGAAAGTAAGAGAAGCAGGCTCCTGCCCCCTCTCCCTAGGGAAAGAAGTGGAGAGGGCCTGCAGGGATCACTTCAAAACAGGGCTGCACAGGCTCCAATGTACACAGCCTCCACCGTCTGCTGATGCGAGTCTCAATGGTTCAGGCATTGTACGCTGCTTCGCCTCGTTGAACTTGCTGTTGCTTGCAGATGTCACCATGGGTTGTATCCCATGGTGCACAAGGCTTCCACAATGCTAGTGATTAGGATTCCAGGAACTGTTTCTATGTTTACCCAGTGGTAAACCATCTTCCCAACAGTATAGCCACAGATGCCCCTTGACCTGTCGTACAGTCATCCTGTACTTGAGCAAGGATTGATGAGATGTTGCATGCTTTTAGACAGGTATGGTGGAATCTGTGGTACATGGATGTGATCATTCAGTGCAGATCTGAAGGGCTTGATGCTTATATGGTACCCAACCAACAACCCTATTATAAATCACTATGCCAAGGTACTGCATGCCCATGGGAAGTCCCTGGTAGCCTCTGCCCTCCAGTCAGTATCACTTGGGCTAGGAAGGAAAGGTGACCATGGACCCCTCCAACTTTTGCCAAGTGGTGACTTCTGTAGCCAATCCCAAATCACTGTTTGGCATTTCCTGTCACATCCAGTAGGATAATCTCCAGTTTTATTTCTGGGTGGGCAACGTGTCTTCCATGAACATAAATAACCCTGACAGCACTGGGTCAGGGTCAATTCCACTGGGTGGAAAATGAAGTGTGTCTCCTCTTCCTCATTACAGCCAGTGCCTCTGAGGCACTCTCCAGATCCCTCCAACACAAATTCCATGATCAAAGAAGGCTTGGCTGGCCTGTCAACTAAGAAGAGTTTGCTGATATTTGGATGCGGTAGAGATTCCATGAGGTCTGCCTCAGTGGAGATGTTGGAGGCCTTGATGCCCCTGTCCAAGATCTTCACAGCTACCAGAGTGTCTGTGTGGGTGCGGCAGACATGCTTCATCTCTGCAAATGTACCACAGGCAAAAGTCATGGAGATCTTGTCATTGTCTTTGAAGGTTTCCTTATTAGAGGGGCTGGCTTTGATCTCTCTCTCCATTGCCACCATGTTAACTTGTGGAGAGTGACACTACCGTCCAATGTAGATAAAACAAAACAAGGGAATGAATAGAAGAAGATAGGAAGGAAGGAAGTCCAGGAGAAAAGTTCATGACTATATATTTCTATATCATAAAAACCAAAATTATCTTGAACAACTGAATGATACACTGCAAGGTTATGGAAAAGTAAGAGCAAACTAAGCCCAAGAGCATAGTCAGCAAAAATAATAAAGATAAGAGCTAGAATAAATAAAGATGTTCAAAGTTCATTCCATCTATGTGTGGAAATAAAATTCCTTATCTTATACAGTTAACACATACTAATGCGGGTTTTAGAATAAAAAAGAAACTCAAGACTTTTTTTTTTAAAAAGTGACAAACGTAAGTAGTTTATGTGGTGGTTTGAGTGAGAATGATGCCCATAGGCTCATGTATTTAATATTTAATCTCTGGTTGGTGGACCTGTTTGGGAAGAACTAAGAGGCGTCTCACTCGGGCTTTGAGGTTTTGAAACCCAGTCCTTCTCTACTTTGTGGTGGATGCAAGCTCTCAGCTGTCAGTCCAGCACCATGTCTGCCTGTCTGCTGTCAAGTTCCCTGCCATGATGGTCATGGACTCTGACCCTCTGAAACTGTAAATTCCAAACAAACTCTTCTATAAGTTGTTTAGGTCACGGTGTTTGTCACTGCAATAGGAAAGTAACTAAGTTAGTTGAAAATAAAAAGTGCAATAATTAATAAAGAAAACTGAATATATAGGCATAAAGAAAAACCAATATGTAGATTAAAAATTTACAAACCAAAACAGGCCAGGCAAGGTGGTGCGTGTCTTTAATCCCAGTACTCTAGAAGTAGAGCAAATGGATTGCTGTGAATTCCAGGCCAGCCAGGGCTAAATAGTGAGTTCCAGGCCAGTCTGGTCTACATTGTGAGTTTCAGACTAGTCAGGAACTAGAGTCTCAAAAACAAGACAAATCAAAAAGAACATATCAAAATCAATAAACTGGCAAGCTTACAAGTAGCTGTCCAACTGATCAGGAAAGCCCAAGTGTATCAGAACCAACATCCAAGTCCAACTTCTCTCCAACCGGACAACAGCTTCTCTGAAGATTAGCACAGAATTCAGCCAGAGCCAGGACCTCACCTGAGGGGGATCTATAATTACTCATGATGGCTCCTTGTGAGGTCACAGAAAGATAGAGCAAACACGGTAAGTTATAACCTACATCTTCTTTCTGTCTCTAGGAACCGGTTATTTTCTCATGGTTGTTCACATCTCCCTGACGAAAAATGACACAGAGAAGGAGGAGTTTACTCAGGCTTTCAGAGGGCATGGGCAGTATGGTGATGGGCTCAGCTGGCCGCACTGGCAGCAGGGTTAGAGGCAGCTGGTTACATTGTATCAACAGTCTCCCAGATCTCCTAGAAACCCAGTGTTCCCAGCTAGGCCCCACAATCAAAGGTTGCCCAGCTTCCCAAACAGTGCCACCTAGTGGGGACCAATGGTACAAGCATATGAGACAGTAAAGGACATCATCGCATCATAAAAAGAGCGCTTTTCACTTTATTAATGGAAGAGGCAGTAACCCTGCTGCTGATGGATTCAGGGAGCTCTGTGCTTCCCTGGACTAGACATACTGGCATTATCTAGTTAGGGAGCAAATGGAGGGTGCTTCAGTGGACTTGGGCCCTAAAATTCCATAGTAATTTGACTTTTAAAGATCTCATCATCTAAGCACGCAATCCCATTTCATTTAAACTGGAATCAACAGGTTTACAGAACGGTAGCCCCTCACTGACGCTGCAATGCACAAGGATCATGTGTGCACATCTGGTCCGTGTGTGGGGCCACATCTCCGTCGTCCCGGGTTTGGGAGCTCCACAGCGAGGATGAGAGTGGCATGTGTTGGGAAGGTGACCAGGAGCCTGGGGCTCCCTAGGCATAATCTAGGCAACCATCAGCTTAGCTCTCTGCACCACATTCTTCTTGGCCACCACTTCTGCCCAGCCTGGCATAAACTCAAAGCAATCATTTCTGTCCCTGGAGGAATCAGATTTTTTTCCTATGTTCAAACATCCTGTTTGCAGTGCACTGGAACGATCCAAAGAAGACAGTTATTGACAACCATGCTGATTAAGTCAGTTAAAGTTGTAGGTCCTTTTTATTGATGGCCAGACTAAAGTGGGCTTGTGCATCTGAAAAATCTCTTGGTGTCCAAGCTCAGGGATACAGAGTTTTTAAAGACAAATCCCACAAAGACCACTATTACGTCAAAGTTAGTGAGGGTAACCTTCAAACATTCGTTTGAGGCACACCATAGTAATTATTTTAGACATAGCACACACTTTTTTAACTTGTGTATTTTTAAAATTATTTTAGTTTGCTTATTATTTTAGTTAAAGCATCTGGATCATGGTCAAGGCCATGGAAATCTCAAATGAGTCGCTAAGGTAGATGTGCTCGTTGAGGGCAGGCTGTAGAGGATTGAGAGCTATCTAAGCAAACACAAACTGTAGTCAAAACAAGATGGTGTTGCTGAGGTCATTTCAGTACCACACAGGTCTCATCTTGTTTAGCAAAGGTATGGCCCTCTTATTAATCCCACTGATTAAGACCAAGACCACTACCACAGTTTAAAGCCAAATTTGAAGCAAGCTTTAATTAAATACTAGCCAGGTGGATGGGCTTCAATCAGGTTCATACCCAGGTTCGGGGAAATGGCCCAGAATCACAGTTTGCAGCAGCTTAAGAAGGAAAATCTATAATTCATTGCATTTACAATCAGGGGCAAGCATACATCCTGACATATTTCCTGCCTACCTACCTCCTGCCCACATGTGATCAAGCACATCTGATGTAGATGGGTCAAACAAACTTGTTTAGAAGAGTAAAAACATGCAGCTTGTTGTCTCCCGTAAACAACAGCTTCCAGCATTTCAGGAACTCTCTGTCCTTGGGCAAGGGACTTGCAGATCAGAGGCATTTTTCTTTCATGGACCTCCTAGGCATAGTAATTGAAACTTAAAGTGTAACTTTGGCTCTCACACTCCCTGGGGAAATGTCTTCACCTGCACATCAGTGGCAGTAATGGTTGTCGATAGCCAAGGATGGGAGTATGGACTTGTTGTTGCCCTGGCAATGGTTCGGCAGCTCCAGCTGTCCCTCCATCCCTAGAGGAGTAGAAAAGAATTCGTTATAGACACACAGTACTCAATATTTTCGCTCCTCTAAGGCTAAATTTATTTGTTTCTAAGCTTTGTGGTGGTGCTGCTGGTGGTGGTGTATATGTGTGCCTGCATATGTGCGTGCGTGTGTGCATGGGTGTGTGTGTGTGTGTGTGTGTGTGTGTGTGTGTGTGTGTGTGTGTGTGTGTGGTTTTGTGAGACAGCATTTCTCTGTGCAGCTTGGCTGTCCTGAAACTAGCTCTGTACACCAGGCTCAAGAGATCTGCCTTGCCTCTGCCTCCCAAGTGCTGGTATTAAAGGTGTGTGCCAACCTCACAGGGCTTGTGAGTGGTTTTAACAGCAGCTATAAGTTGTGGTAAATAGCAGAGAAAGCAACTGATTATAATAGAAGATGCATGCTTCCTCCTCTTTGTCCTACCTTTTTCTGGAAAAGACCGAATGCACATGTGCTGGCATGGATGGTAATAAAAACAATACAGAATCGCATACACGGAGGAGGCTGAAGTAAGGACCGGACAAGGACAAAAGCTTATTTTAGGGGAAGAGGCAGAGAAACCCAAGGTCAAGACCAGTGGTATCCAAAAGCCAAGTGTTGCCTGGGCTAGGGCAGGATCAGGGAAAGGCGAGCCCGGGAGCGGAAGTAACAAGCACAAATTCCGCACGTGGGCGGGATTGTCTAGCCCTGGCGGAAGAGAGGCTGCTGGGCTGGGGCGTGGCGAGCAGGATGGCGGCACAGCTTGGTCCGCACGAGCTGCTGCACGTCTTCTCCTTCCTGGAGGCCCGGGACCTGCTGCGCGCTGCGCAGGTGAACAAGGTGAGGTTTGGCGGAGTCGCCCCACCGCCGCGCTCCCGGGTGTCCCCTCCAGGGATTGGCTTTGCCATGGGCTCCCTCCCTTGTCCGGTGGCCTGGGGTGGCGCCTCTTCACCACTTACCCCTTGCCTTCTTGACCGCGCCCCTGTCCTGCTTGTCATGTGCTCTATCTATGCCCTGCTGTGCGCTTCCTCTCAGGGACTCAATACAAAAGACAAAAATCAGTATTAGTGTAAGGTATTGAACTGTGACAGAAAAGATGCTAAACTATCTTCAGTGCTTATCCCAAGTACCCAGTGCATGCCTTGAATTTTAGTGTCTTCCTTACGTTAATTAGTGTTCATAAGGTTAGACAAATTCTTGCCTGAACAAAGCACTTAGATACGCGATTTCAACCCAGTTCAGTTTACCTACAGAAAGATACCAATACTGTTCATTCAGATGTTGTCAGCTTTGCGTCAGACTTCATCAAAGGACCCAGAGTTGACATCTGGCAGTGAGGCTGAAGGTCCTAGACCTGAGTGTATGGATAGGGGTCACCTAATTTTTTTCTTTTGTAGTTCTGGGGAATACACCAAGGACCTTGCTAGCCATGCACTGGACCAGCCTGTCTGCCACTGTTGGCTTTTAAACCTGCTGTAGTGTGACCGTGTCTCTAACCACTTCTTTCCATTGCTACACTGTAACACTTCTTGGGGACTGCATCTTGTTCCTATCTGTTGCCAAAACGTTGTGAGCCTGAGAACTTACCTCATATGGCCACTGTTTGTAAATGTGTTGTCTTATGTAAATGTGTTGTCTTCTACACTTTGTCCCTACCACGCTCTGGAGAGAAAATAGAGGCCATGACTGTCAGCCTACGACAGCTGTTTGACATCTTGGTTTATCAGTTGCGATGGCTAAAGTTATGTTTTAAGCTTAAATTACCGTGCTTAGATCTCTATAGACAGAACTGCCTCTAACCTGTAAGCTCCACTTTTGCCCAAGGACAGGTAACTTCCTGAAGTGCTGGGGGCTGATGTTCATGTGAGATAACAAGTCACGTGTTTTCAATGCCGTAAACAAGGTTGGTTGACCCAGCTTCACAGGATGTGTTTGATCACACGTGGGCAGGAAGTATGTTAGGATGTATGCTTGCCCCTTATTGGACACAGGAGGGAAGTGCGTAGCCTTGTGGGGCCTGGCTTTAGAAGCTCCTGTCTATTGTAATCCAGTGCCATTCTCTGGGAATTCCAGGTATGGTCCTGGCCAGTGTCCATCATCCTGGCCAGTATTTGATAAAGCTTGCTTTAAATTTGGCTCAAAAATTGTGGTAGTGGCCTTATTCCTGCCTTGTGGGATTTTACCACAATCACCTAATGAATGAGTAAATGATCTCTTCCTCTGAAAAGGAATGGGTTAGTTAATGTAACACATTACACAGAAGGCCACTTTTGCCTCTTATTTATTTATTTTTTTTAAGTAAAAAGGCATTTTATTAAAGTCTTGTCCCAATTTCTATCCCATGCCCCAGGTCCCTCTAAAAATGACAGAAGTAGGGTGTACTGTAGGTGGCTAAGGACCTGGCAGAGTTTGGGAACACCTGGGCAAATTTGGTTTCCTATATGGAACCAGTGTGGTCCAGTGCTAAATTTAGAAGCAGAATATAAGCAAAAGTGCCCAGTTACCAGCACGAGGTCCTGGTGGGGAGGGAAGACGAGGCCCTCACCTTCCCCAGGCACTTCTCAGCCCAGAGAGCACACAGGTCCGAGTCTGCGAGGACAGTTTTAAGTAAGTCTAGGAAACTACTGAGTTTCACTCCCGTGTTTATGGTCAAGAAACCGAGTATCACAAGGTGACATCTCTGAGGTGATGGGGAGTCACATGCAGGGCTTGAGTCCCCAGCTGTTTCTCCATAGTAGGCTGGCACAGTTTAGAGACAGAGTTGAAAGAGAAGTTCCTTCTGCCCTTTGGTATTGCCAACTTTTCGTGGTTACAATGTACTTGTAAGTTAAATAAATAAGGTCAGTAATCTTGAAGATGGCTAGCATTTGTTTGGTAAAGCACACCACACGTTACATTTTCTATTTGAGAACTGACATCCCAGTTGGCTTTCAATGGGAACATGCTTAGATCTTTGCTTGCTTTGATTTTGCAAAATTACATCATTACTGGATGAAAAGACTTCTTTTTTTCTTTTTTAATTTTTTTGAGTTAGAGTCTCAATTCAGGCTGGCCTTGAGCTAGCTATGCAGCCGAGGATGACTTTAAACCCCTCATCACCCTGCTTCCACCTCCCAAGTGCTCTGATTACAGTCATGCAACAGCACACTCAGGCATCCTAGGCATCTTGCAGATACCTCTGCAGAGAGACGTGAGAGCGTAGTATCTGCCCTGGAAGACTGTTGTCATTGGACCATGTGACATCCCTAAGACATCTGAAGTCATTTCCAGTTCACAGCAAGCAGCGAGATCTTACTTAAACACAGCTTGGCCTCAGTACTCTCCCCCATTGAAAATGTTCAAGTAGCTGTCAGTATTTTTACATGGAGACGTTTAGGAGTAGCAGAAGCCACCCAGTCAGCTCCTTTTCCTCGTTCTTCAACCAAAGCCTCATGCTCTAACTGAGGCAAATTACTAAACTGTCCTTTTCATAATTATGAGTAGTCATTTGTACACCTAGTGTGTTTCCTTACACTGCTCTAGAACAACTGTCCACTACTTGATTAGTTATTGTTTCTCTGAGCCCCTAGGCCCTGACTCATCAATCCCCATTGAGTCTCTTCCTTTTCATCATTTGGTGGGTTTTAATTATCTGTTGTTTTTAATGCACCAGGTTGAGCCATGTTGAATGCAGAAACTGGGTTGGTTTTGTTCTTTGTCCCCTCCGTGGGCTTTGGCAAGCTAGGCGCTTAATACATATTGACTGACCAGGTACTGTCTTTCTGTGTCCTTATTCTAGGTCTGGAATGAGGTATCAATGACCAGGGAACTGTGGAGGTAAGTGAAGGAAGAGCACGGGTGCTGGAATTGGAAGCATGTGCCAACATGCCCAACTCAGACTACTTCTAACAGTACAACAGCATAAGAAGCTAAGATTGTATAAAATGAAAAGAATCACTATTGAAAACAGAAATATTTAAAACATTAAATTTTAAAGCCCCTCTAATTTATTCCTCTGTGGAACCTGTTGTCTTTTGTTTTATACTAAGATAAAACTAACAGCCCTCTCCTACCTCTGGCTGAATGTAGGGCCCTTAACAGGTAGGCGTTAGATTTTCACTCTTAATGGAGAACAACTGTTCAAGTGTGAAGCTTCCTCACAGCTGGGAGGGAGTCTTTGCTCTTATGTAGGATGACAGTGGCACCCTGGAATTCCTGGTTATTTCAAGGTTATCTTATCATACTCCATTTTCAGCATCATAGAGCACTGTTCTGTTGGTTGCTCTGTAGTAGCTTTATAACTAATATTGATTAGAAAAACAATCCCAGTCAGTTTTGAAGCAGACCTCCATTGGGATCCATTCTTCTATCTACTCTTTGGAGAACTGACTTGTAAGTAGTCATAGGTAATTTAGGTAAAGGTAGGTCTTGCCCAGTATGTGACTCCAAGAAATTGTCTGAATGGATGAACTGACTGTTGCAGCTGCTGATGTATCAAACTCTTAAGTTATGATCTTTGAGTCAACCACTAACAAGTAACTAAAAAATATGGTGGAGGAAATGACAAAGAAATTGAAACGGCACGTATGACCGTACTTAACACAAAATATGATAGTAGTTAAATGAGGGGGGTAAGACAAGAAAGCATTAAAATAACAAAGATATGATTACACAACCTAATGAAAAGGCAGAGATAGATAAAATTGACAAAGGAAAAAAATAGTCCAACTTAATGCTATACACATGAGATATACTTAGCTTGCTTTGTTTTTGTTACAGGATTTGGAGATCAAATCCACTAAGCCCCAGTGTGCATGCTTGGCAAGCACTCTACAATTGAGTTGTGTCCCCGGCTCTGAGACACACTTTGGATTAAAAGACATAGATATGTTGACAGTAAGAATGTGGAAGAAGATATACATGCAAACAGCGATGAAAAAAGCTGAATGACCGATAACATCAGGCAGAGTAGACTGAGATCAGACATGTAAATTAGTATGTTATCTAATGATAAATAGATGAGCCTAAGGAGGAGATATGGCCCTGTATATGTCCCTGGCAACAGGTAACAAAACGTGCCAAGGAACTGAATGGGCAAATGGACAGTGTGACACAAACAGTTGGAGACTTACAAAAGCAGGTTCCTGAATGCCAGCTGTCTATTTAGGCTCTGTGTCCCCAGGTGTAGGTTGATGGTGAGTACCTTCTCCCGAGGGCTACCTTTCTGAAGGCAGTTTGTCACATAAAAAGTACAGCGTGGTTGACATGTCACCATTCATTAGCCCCGCCCTGTTTGACACAGGAGAAAGTTGAGGACTCATTAGGGACAGTGAGTTATCCAGGGTTTCAAAGCCAGAAAGAGGTAAGGCCAGAATTCAGAGCTACATCACCTGGCTTCAGAAACCAGACTGCTGTATCCTGCCTAAGCTTGCCTCTGTTTTTCAGGCAGCTGTGTCTGAGACGATGGGCCTCCTGCAATTCCTTCCCAGTGGTCCTGGGCACGCAGACATGGAGGCAGTACTATTTCTGCCGGTCTGAACTGGAGTTCCGCGTGGAAGCTGGGAGGCCACGGGACTTCATCAGCAAAGCTATTTCTGGGCACGAAGGTATGAGTGTAGTAGCCATGCTCCACTGCCCACCCCTCTTCTGGTCAAATCTCAGGGAGTCTTGGCATCTCAGCTAATGTGGGTCTTGCTGGATGCTGTGTTATCTGTGCTGTGTCATGGGAGGAAGGAATGGGTGTCACCTCCTTTTCAGAGTGGACTGAAAAACTCAAATAGGACAAGCCAGGCCTCTGGTTATAACTGGGTTCTGCTCTAGGGAAAGCTCACCCTTTGGCTGCCTGGGTATGAATTACTCCCGTCTCTTTCGTGTACCCTAAGCAAGCACTCATTGTGTCCTGAAACTGGAGAAGAGGAACAGTTGTGTACCATATCTGAGTCTATCTGTGCGTGTGCTGTCTTCCAGGGAAGATAGATCAGCTGGCCTACATCTCACCCCACGAGTACCGCTTTGATGAAATGGCAAGGTCTGTGGTTTGCACTGTGTCTTCAGACTGTACCGTGCGTGCCTGGGATCTTCATCAGGTGACCTGTCCCCTGGGGAGGGAAGGGTCCCTACTATGTCTTTGATTTGATCATCTTAATGCAGAGTAGGAGCCCCAGTTTGAAGATGAGAAATGTGAGCTCTGCCATCAGCTGTCACCAGGAGGACATTCTAATAGCAAACATGGGTGGAGGAGGGGCTTATGAAATTTGAATGTAACCTATCTCACGTGACACATGGTCAGCTTCCTCTTGGACCAAACTTTGCCAGTGGTGGTGGGGGTTGTTATACCCTGTGCCTGGAATGACAGCTGTTTTACCATTTCTCACATTTACTGCAAGCCGCTTAGTCATGAGCCTCCATGCTGGAACTCACGCTGCCCAACCAGGCAGTTTTGCAAGATGACAGCTTTTGGTCATCCCCAAGTGTGAACATCAAACTGGACAGCTGCCCTAGAATTTTAAACTTTGTTAGGCTGGTGCAGATGTAAAAACAGAAGACTTTTAAAGTGGTTTTTGTTTGTTTGTTTGTTTGTTTGCTTTGAGACAGGATCTCACTCTGTAACCCAAGCTAGCCTAGAACTGGCAGGCTGCTCCTTCTGCCTCATGGATGTGCACACACACACGTACACACATGGAGTGCCTTGCTGTTTGGGCCACAACTAGACCATAAATATTTTACTCCTCTTAGGCCAGAATCTCTGTCATAACTAACTACTTAACTCTGCTGCTGTGACCCCAAAGGAGCTACAGACAGTGTATAAACAGGAGAGAATAGCATTCTCTAATAATGCATGATTTCATTAAATAGTCTGTTTTAAAACCAAATACAAAAATACTCAGCAGCCCGTGTGGCTGCAGGCAGGCCATGGTGTAGCAGACCTTGAATTAGCACTCCATTTTTCCCAGCATGGGACACCTCAGGCTGCCAGTAGCCCTTCCCACCATCTGGCCTGGCTTCGCAGCCTTAGTGCTATCCATGAGCAGATCTTCAGCTGTAATTCCTTCCTTAAAGACTCACTGGTGCTGTGTTGCATCGAAACTTGCTTCCCAGTAGCACAGTATTTGCATGTGCTCTTTGGAGGAGACTGAGGGTTTGTGACCCACAGCTGGCTTCTTTGTGTGTTTTTGTGCCTTAAAACTCCTAAAACAAAAATGGGACTTTAGCTCAGTGGACAGCATTTACCTGGCATATATGAGGCTTGGGGTTCAATTCCTGGTTTATCATGGGGGCCTAATGTCACTTTAAATAACAATAAAAACCTAGTCAGTTCAAATTAACAAACAGTCTCTATCCCTTTCCCTAATCCTTCAAATTAGCTGTTAACAGTTTGGCTTTTCTCCTGCCTTTTTCTTTAACTTTTTGATACCAGGTTGGATTTTGCCGGCCTCGAACTTACAGCAATCTTCCTGCCCCTTCCTCCCTGACATTGGGATTGTAGGCCTGAGATACCATGCCTGGCTTATTTTGCTTGTTTTCATAATTCCCCTTCTTTCATACCCAGATACTGGATCCCCTATGCATTTTGTGATGGTTTGCTGCGTGTCTGTGAGGTCACAGGGGTCAGAAGAGGGTCTCAGATCCCCGAGAGCAGCCCAGGACCCCAGCTCATCAAATGGTATCAGCTCGGTTAACCTAATCTAGAAACTCCCTCTCACAGCACCGGGGATTTTTACCTGTGTTCCTGTGTGCCGTGCAGCCTGCTAGAGTGTGCCGTGCAACCTGCTAGAGTGTGCTGACTCATGAAAATAATGTGTAGCTATGAAATAAACGGGCCCCTAGGCCAGTCAGTTACGTTGATTTTGTCGTTGCCAGGGCACAGAGATCTGGTCCAGCCCTGTGCAGCCTGCTCCCCTGGTGACTCTGGTGGCCTACCCTCTGCTGCAGCTGGTTGTCACAGTGGACACACAGGGTTTGATCATCAGTTGGAAAGCGGATACAGGGTCCAAGTGGGCCTCCTTCTTCCTGCGGACCTCCTGCTCATCCATGGAGGCCTGTGGCCACCCAGAGGGCCCCTTCTTGATGGTGAGTGATCCCACTCTGGGGAGCCCCGCAGGGCCTAACCACCTCTTTGTCTAAGCCACTGTGGTGGGAGGATTCTGGATCCCTCTTCACGGCAGACCCTGCTTTCTGGCATTCCTCTCCTGTGGTGGGAACCTGCTCTGTGTTCTTGTGGTTTTATAGCCACACAGGCTTGCTTCCCTGTGTGCTGAAGTCTTTCTTCACTCATCCATTCTTACCAGGTTTTTATGGGGAACTTGACTCCTGACCATCAAGGGTGGGACTGTCAACCTTCACTGGGATTCCATTCCTGATGCTCCTGTTTTTCAGCTTGACGGTGTCTGTCCTTCCTGTTGCCTCTACAGCTGCCTTCAAGGGCTCTCACCCTGGGGTTGCAGCGGTTAAATGCAGGCTCCCTGACTTGGGTTTCCTCTCCGGAAGTTTCCCTCAAACCACAGTTCCTGGATAATGCCCCCTGCATCATACAGTGACATGATGAGTCTTTTAGAGCATTGACTGGGGAAATCACGCTGTCACCCACACCTGCAGCTGGATGTGAGGGTTGCGGGCTTGTCTTGAGAATAAGAAAGGTCACCATACAAGGACTGGCTTACTTTCAATAAGGCTTTAGCTTACACACACGCACGCACGCACAGAGCCGTGCTTGGAGCTGGTTGTCTTTCCGGTGCCCAGCTGTTGCTCTTCCTCCATGCTCTCAGCTGTTATCACTACCTTTGTGAGTTTGGAATGGCATCTAACTGTTCTGATTCTCACCCTTCACCAGGTCACAGGCAGGAGGCCCAGTCTGTATGGGACCTTACCCAAAAGTCTTGAAATGTTTATTTTTCTACATTAGGTGGGAATGTGCTTGAAATTAGTTTCCAGAGTTTGCTGGTTGTTTTTGTGAAACATTTTTTATATGCTAACTTTGACCTATTAATTCTATTTTTAGGCATCCCCTGAATGTATGCCTGCATGCGTGTAGTGTCAAGGCAGGAACACTCAGTGTAGCAATAACTGTAGTGACATTTGCACCCCTGGCAGATCTTCCCAACCCAGTACACATTTTCTTTTGACCTTTTAAATTGCCGTCAGTGTGAGAAGAATCGTAAATGTCTAACACATAGGCAGGCTGACTCTGTCATTGACTGGAAGGGCACTGGAGGGTCACATGCCAAGCTCCTGCAGGGGCCTAGGGCTCTGCTTGAAGACTTACATTGCTGTGGGCTGTGCCCACCCTTTGGCAGGGCAAGGGCAGGGCACAGCTCCTTCAGAAGACTGTGGTAATTGCTATTGTTACTTGCTTTCCGTTCCAGGTAGCCTGTGCTGACGGGAACCTCTATACTCTGACAGTGCCTCAGCTGCAAGTGATCTCCAAAGTGGCCACATTTCCTCGCACCTCTGTGAGCCTCGCGTGCTCACCTGACCAAAAGTGGGTGTCTGTGTTGGCAAAAGGGTCAGACTTAGGCCTAAAGGTCAGTGCCTGGGGAACACTGTCCCTGGTAAGCCTAATGCAGTGGGAGGTTGCTGTGGAGTATAAACATTTGCTTATGCTGTGGAACACTGGTTTAGTGTTGCAAAGATTCTTTTACATTGCATTTGTTTAACTCTGTGAAGCTGTGTTACTTTGTCTAATAAAGAGCTGACCGGCCAATAGCAAGACAGGAGAAAGTATAGGCAGAGCCAGCAGACAGAGAATAAAAAGGAGGAGACATCTGGCAAGAGAGGAGTTCAAGGAGCCAGAAAAGAAGGGGCCAGCCACACAGCCAGACATGGAATAAGAAGGAAAGAAAGGTATACAGAAATAGAGAAAGATAGAAACTCAGAGGCAAAAGGTAGATGGGACAATTTAAGTTAAGAAAAGCTAGCAAGAAACAAGCCAAGCTATGGCCAGGCATTCACAAGTAAGAATAAGCCTCCATGGCTTATTTGGGGAGCTGGGTGGCAGGCCCCACAAAGATTAAAAGAATTAAAAAAAAAAAAAAAAAAAAAAAAAAAAAACCCCACCAACACCCACAGGATGTGGCTAAAGAGCCTGGACCCTGAGACTGCAAGCCACAGGTTCTTCGACCACCATCAGAGGTCCAAGCCCTGTGACCAGGCAGGAGTGTGCCTCTCTTCCTGGAAGCCCAGCCCCTGCCTGTCTCTGCTCTGTGCTATGATCTGGCAGGACCAGCTCTCTGCTGGGGAGGGAAAAGTCAGCTCTGGACAAGTTTGGGCTTGGGCATCTCCACCAGGATGCTCCTAAAGAGCTGGCTGGGGTGCTGAGGATGGTGTGAAGACAGTGGATCAGTGAGGCCCAGTGCGGGGGGGAGGGGGGGCGGGGGGAGGAGAGCACACGATGAGAGAGAGAGAGTGTGTGTGTGTGTGTGTGTGTGTTTGCGGGGGGGGGGGGAGGAGAGCACAGGATGAGAGAGAGAGAGTGTGTGTGTGTGTGTGTGTTTGCGGGGAGGGGGGGGAGGTCTGCTGTGCCTCTGGCACTGTGGTCAGGAAGGATGCCCTGCTAGTCACAAAGTTCTGACTGCGCCCTGGCTCATAGGCACAGAGATGTCTAGTCGTTTGCCAGAGGCGTGACCCTTACCGAATGCCAGATCTAAACTGAAAGCGAGACCACAGAAGTAAGAGCTAATGGGGCACGGCAAAAGACCTGGTAGCCATGGAAGCAACTCATTAGAGAATAGCAGTCAGTTAGGTACGAGGACATGGGATGCTGCAGCCCACAGTCCAGAAAGGGGACATTAAAATGACTTGGACTGCCCTGTAAGGCCCAGTGTAGAGGGTGTGGGTATGTGGGGAGCCAGCTGCTGAAGACAGTCCTGCCAGAGGCTGAAGTCAGCCAGGGCTGGAGGGCTTTGGGAGCTCTGGGTCCCTCGCCACTCTGTGACCGTGTGGGGTGCTTCCCCAGGTGTTCTTCACTCAGCCCTTGCTCCACCCGTTAGAAGACAGCTTTCCTGTCTCCACCACCCTCCCTGTCAGGCTGAGTTCCAAAGCCTGTTGGGCTCCCGCCGAGGCAGCCAGGCTGATGGTGATGCATAAAGATGAGAGTGGCGTGCACCTGGTCATCACTACCTTCATTTTAAAGGCCAGCGAGTCCAGGGACAGAGTGAGCATCCAGGGTAAGGTCCCCGTGCTGGCCACAGCCTGCAGTTTGGTGCTTTAGGACAGGCTCCTCATGGTTCCTCTAGGACATTTTCTCCTCCCTTTCGAGGACATAGGAACTGAGTATCCTGGAAACTTTACTGCGTGATTTCATGTACCGAGTGGTGGGTGCTTACGACTTGCTGCTCCCTGTGTAGTCCCGGGCTTCAGATGTAAATTCCGTGCCCATGGTCCCCTCCTGTGTGGGTGGCAGCACCCCAGCATTTTGCTGCTACTGGACTGGGATTTGGGGTCTGAACAATTGGCTCGGGAGCAGAGCTCTTCTAACTGCAAAGCCATGCAGTTCAGCAGACTGCATCCCTGGGTGAGGCACTTATCCCGGCCTGAAAAGCAACCTGTGTGTTTTTATTCTCCCAAGCACAACAGCTGGCCAGCTTCCCCCTGCCGGGCACTATGACTCCTCACCTCATGCAGGGCCACGGCTCCCACGTGATCCTGCTGGCCTCCATGTCAGAGCTGGTGCTCTTCAACATACACGGCCTGCAGCTGGTGGCCTTCCAGGACCACCAGAGGCCCATCACGTCCATGTGGGTGGTGAGTGTAGCACCTCCTGCCCAAGACATGCTTTCCACTCTTGGGAATCCACAGCCATGCCTCATTTGACTTCATTTCAAGGACCCTAACCATGTCATCACCTCTTCCTTGGACCTGTCCTTGCGTGTCTATTTGTGGGATAAGAAGAATACGTGCCCTGTCCTCAAGAGCTGTTATCATCTGCTTGGAGGATCTCACAGATGGGCCAGGTAAATGTCTGTTCTCCTGCCCTGTGTCCGTAAAGTGGTAAAGCAGTTGGTTTTCTTTCTTTTGGAACAAGTCTTGTTGTGTTGCCCAGGCTGGCCTTGAACTTCCTGTGTCAAGTGGTCCTCCCACCTCCTTCTCCTGAATAGCTGAGACCAGATGTGCACATCACATCTGTTCAAAGGAATGATTCTAAAGGAAATATTGGAGAGAGTCCGTGTAAGTCCAGCCTCATTAACTGGGTCTCAGGATGAGCCACTGTGAACATCATGTTTCTTTTTCTGCTACCAAAACAAAAAGCCACAAAGCTGATTTCCAGCTCTCACTGTGCGCTGTATGCTGTCTCCTACACTGTGCAAAGCCAGCCTGTGTTAGCATTACCCACGCTTTGCAAATGAAATGGCTGAGAGATTTAGATGTTTTGTGCATAATCCACAGAGAACATGTGGCCAAACCAGGGTTAGACCTTGAAAAGGCCTTGTGAAAAACAGTCAGTCCTGGGAGCTCTTGTGGGCACACCACCTTTGACCACCATGGGTTCCTTGTAAATTCTGGTAGAGATGCACTTAGTATAATGAAGGCACATCTGGGCCACTGCCCCTTGTGTTTCTCAGCACATTAGAATCATTGAGATTCTGGCAGCACTGCCAGGAGGGACCTGACACAGTCCACCCACTGAAGAATGGGTTAGCATTTCCCATCGAAGCCCAGAGGACACGGGTGGGTGGCAGTGGGCTGGAGAGGGTCGTGAAGGTGAGGCTGGGCTCCGTTCTCATGTGAAAGCTTTTCTATGTAAGCACTTGCTTTTATCCCAAGTTAATGCCTGGCATGTCCTTCTGCTTTGCAGTGGATTTACCCACGTGAAAAGTGACGGCGTGAGCATTGCTGGGATTGAAGCCAGAAGCAATGGAACAAGCATTCTGAGGTCATATTGCTTCAAAGTTCAGCTGAACTAGACTCTGCCAGTAAGAGATGCTCTTGCTCTGTGTGCATGCAAACTCCTTACCAAACACGTTGTCAACTTTGGGAAATGAGCTGGTAAGGTGACTCCTGTACGATCACAGTGAGCCAGCATTCTCTATTGTCTTGTGTTTCGTTGTCTAACTCAGAAAGACAAAGGCGAGTAAGTGGCCATCTTCAACTGGTCTTCCAGTGCTAAGCAACGGGCCTAAGGCTTCTCAGATTGCTGGTCACAGACGGAGTGGACTGTGGTAGTGCTAGAGAACCCGGTTGCTCACAGTGGCAGAGCTGCATCAGAGTTGCTCTTGTTATCCATGCTGTTATAATTAAAATATCTTTATCTGCCTGCGCTGTGTTATGTACTGTAGACACACATTCATACATACACATTGCTGTCATTGAGATGAATTCTGGGAGACCCTTTTAGAAACTCAGGGGTACCAACAAAGCAGAATGAAGATCAGAGCTTTTAGAGTTGGTCATCATGGGAGTCCAGGCTGGGTTAGTTAGTGAATTATAAAGAGTCTCTGCTCACAGTCACCCACCAAAACCAAAAATGGAACTTGGTAGAAGTCAAGAGAGGAAGTCAAGAAGTCGAAGAGAAGGCTGGAGAACTAGGGTGGAGTAAGCTAGAAAGGCAGTAGGACACTCAGTTCTGACTGTCTGTGCCCTTAGCATTCCCTCAGGTCTGTCCTCTGCTCCCAGTGAGCAGGTAGGTACCAGCGCCTCCATGGAAAACACTTCCCAGCTGGTCCTGAGGGAGATTCAGAGTGTTATGTGTGTGCATACATATGTATGTCCATGCTTTTGTGATACACTGTCTTGGGGTCACAGGTCCACATAGAAAGGAGATACCTGTTTCCTTCAGCTTCAGGAGGTACCTCCAACTAAGACTCACATAATGGGGATTTTTGTAACTTGAGGAATTTTTCCTGTTTGAGGAGTGAAGACAGGAGTTGTAGACTGCTTTGCCTCATATCTGAATGCAGCCTTTAGTGACAATGCTCAGATACTGTAGATGACCATGGTCATGTAGGACACAGATGATGATAATGCCATAAGAGTGCTTGCCCTTCTATGCTGACCCAGCCCTGCCCTTTGCTGGCCCTGATATAGCTGGCTCTGCCCCTCACTGGATGCTGCAGCAAGAGAGCTGGTTCCCCTGCACATGGGAGTGATGGCCCCACCCCTCCCCATGGGTAGGGGAGAGCTGATCCTGATGGCATGGGTATGGGAGCCCCTTGCCTGAGTGGGGCAGCCTCAGTGGCCTGGACTGGCCAGTTCAATTACCACCCAGGCCTACAGCTATTCCTTGGGTTGGTCCACCCTAACATCTACCCTGTCTAGGACCTGCTGGAGCTTGTGAGGGGGCTGGTCCTGTGGACCGATAACTGCAGGATCTCCATGATTCAGTGCGGCTGCAAGAGATCTAAGAGGAGTTTCAGTGAGGATCCAGTGATGATGGTGTACCAGAAAGCAGAGGCCTTGAGCCAAACCAGTGACTCGTTGCAATGAATTTGCAAGCAAATCAATGATTGGACAAAAGGGTATGCTGTGTGGTACTCCTTGGCTCCCAATGCCATGAAGAGGTGTTAGAGAGAGGGAGAAAGATGGAGGAGCAAAGAGATGTTGTTGTTTGTTTTTCTTTGTTTTGGTTTGATTTTTATTTAAATTTTCACTTGGGGAACCACTGCAAAGTGGGGGAAGGATATGAAGGGACTGGGAGGTGGGAGGTACATGATGTGAAATTCCCAAATATTCAATAAAGAAGTTATGTTAAAGCAAAACAAAGAGCCCCTGCCCTTGAAGCTGTCAGTGGACAAGTCCTTACCTAGCTCCACTACAGACTCATGGCCTGATGATGAGGATAAGCAGGACTGAGCCATTGCAAGATGGCAGTGGGGAAGAGGATGGAGACCAAGGAGAAACAGACCAACAGATACAAATGCCACAGCCCAGCAAGAAAGGGAATGGTCTTGTTCCGAAGATGATGGGAAGTTTCAAGTCAGCCAACATGCTGGTGTTTTCTGCTGGAGACCTCGTGGGCATGTTCCATTTACAGGTCCTCTTATGGGCAGCATCCTCAGGACACAGCAGTTCTGTTACATTCCTTCCTTGGGAAAGTGTCAGCTCTGACATTAAGGTGATGCAAGGGTGAGCCTGGTGGCCCCACCCAAGAACACACACAGCAGCTCTAGAGCTGAGAGCCAGCTTTGTAAGGGAAGTTATAGTGGGGCAGGAGGCTCAGGTACCAAGGTTAACAGTTAATCTTGCTGAAGGTATGTGAACACTAGTCTTGGCTGTAGCACTCTGGGTCCCAGAAGAAGCCCTATAAATTATGCTGCACTCTGGAGTCCCCCTGTTCCACGTTCTGACACTTCCTTTTATGGCCATCAGTGGGCACAAGTGCCACTTGGGGCAAGAGGCCCACAGACAAACACGTAAAGCTGTGTGGGCCTTCCTTCTGCAAACCAAGTTAGAAACAAACCAAGGAGTCAAGCCTGGCGGGGCAGGCTTATGACCTCTGCCACTCTGCAAGTTCAGCCTAGTCTACCAAGTGCGTTAAGGTCAGTCTGAGCAACTTAGACCGTCTCAAACCAAAAGATAAAATGAGGGCTGGAGGCTGCAGGCGGGTGTCGTTGGGTGCTGCAAAGCTCTTGCCTAATGTGTGAGGCCCTGGGCTCAGGCCCTGGTACTATGAAAATAATGAAAGAACTATATAAGCCTAAGTATTACCTAAAGGTGATAATATACACAGGATTTTTCAGAAACATATACAAGTTATAAGGACATCGAACTCTTCTGTGTTTTAGAAACCTTAGCAAATCATTAGAATTACTAAGCCAAACTCTGCAACCCTGGCAGAAGCAACCCATATATGGAAGTCAGTCAGCGTGCCAGCGACTAGACTCACAGGGACAGTAGAGGCTACAGGTGAAAAACAAAGACTTTCTGCAAGGACACGTCATCATTCCATGCTCCCAGGTAGAATACTGAGCGAAGGCACTCTTGTAGAAGCAAGAGTTAGAGAATGGAGTAGAGCTTCCCTGGGAGTTATAAAGGAGAAACCAACTTGGGTAATAAAGATTAGAATCAATGCATGCAGCAGGATAAAAGGTCAAGACAGAACATGGGGATCCTAGATGCACTGCAGGTGAGGTCAAGTGGTGTATGTGGAACAAAGCTAGAGATGTTTTCCCAGCGAGTGAAGACAGGCCCCCCCCACATTATCATTCCTCAAATGGAAAAAGCCAAAAGGAAAATTACAGACAAATTACAACAGTGGCACCAAAGCAGGGCTATGCATAACTCCTGACAGAAGCCCTAATCTGTGCCCCCCCCATCTTTTTATCTTATAAAGGAAGCACACTTTTGTTTACTGGGTATCATAACATCAGAAGACTTGTTTATATATAGTGTGTTTTTATACAAAGGTATGCCTTTAGAACTGTTATGGAATGAACAAGGAACTTGTGTGGGGACAAGAATTTCTGATTGCTCACATGAACAACAACCTGGAAAACAGAGCCAAATTCGCTGATTTTCAATAGAAAGTGACACAAGAGTGCATTGGTGTGGAGCAAAGTGTGACATCACCCCACCCAGAGCCACTGTCACCCCAGCACATGCGCTGCTAGCTAGACATGCCCTCCCTTTAAAGCTCCGGAGACCTCCGGAGGGCAGTCAACACAAACCACTGGTGAAGCCAAGTAAAATTTGAATTCCCAAGTGTTTGGAGTCCAAATTTATTTTGCTAGATGCCACACACAGCATGGAATTTCTCCTTAGGTCCCCATTTTTTTAAATATAAGATGGGAGTCTCATTGCCCAGGTTTGCCTAGAACTCTCCATCCTCCTGGACCGTCTCACATCCACCACCTGGGTGTGGGGTTACAGACGTGAGAAGCTTACACTGCCTGACCAAAATGCAAACTTTTTATATACCAAAAGGTCCCGTAAAGTTAAAAAGCACGCTGTAACTCAATCCCCAAAGAAGCTAAGAGACATAGAGTTACGGATACAATGAAGAGGTCCCTTTACTCCAAGTATTAGTGTGGACAGTTAGAATCTAGCCATCTGGGGAGGTTGCTTGGTGGGGTGACTCGGACCGTCCTCAGTCTGAGTGCCCTAGTTGAGGTAACGTTCCTTAAAAGCCACTTTGGAGTATAAAACTTTAGAGACACCCTGTGAAGTACCTGTCCCCAAGTAACCTCCATCCTATTCCCACCATGAACAAGCAATAACAAGCAATCTTCATCCTTGCTGTTCATAGTTTCCTGCTGAGCCACTGACAGTTTTCAGGTCATACTTTGAAAACCTGCATTCCACAAAATTTGAAAATTCAAAGGAAATGGACAAATCTCTGGATAACTATCACTTACCAAAATTAAATCAAGAACAAACAACTTAAATAGACCTAGTACCCGCAATGAAATAGAAGCAGTCATTGAAAGCCTTCCAACCAAAAAAAGCCCAGGGCCAGATGGCTTCAGTGCAGAATTCTACCAGACATTCAAGGAAGAACTAATACGAATACTCCTCAAATTGTTCCACACAATAGAATTAGAAGGTTCATTGCCAAACTCTTTTTACGAGGCCACAATAACCTTGGTACCCAAGCCTCACAAAGACACAACTAAGAAAGAAAACTACAGACCAATATCCCTGATGAACATCGATGCAAAAATACTCAATAAAATACTGGCAAACCGAATTCAAGAATACATCAGAGAAATCATCCACCATGACCAAGTAGGCTTCATCCCTGGATTGCAGGGATAGTTTAACATACAAAAAAAAAAAAAAAAAAAAAAAAAAATCTATCAACGTGATCCACCATATAAACAAACTGAAAAAGAAAAACCATATGATCATGTCCCTAGATGCTGAAAAAGCCTTTGACAAAATTCAACACCCTTTCACGATAAAGGTCTTGGAGAGATCAGGGATAACAGGAATATACCTAAACATAATAAAAGCAACATACAGCAAATCAACAGTCAACATAAAACTGAATGGAGAGAAGCTTAAGGCAATTCCTCTAAAATCAGGAACAAGACAAGGCTGCCATCTGTCTCCATATCTCTTCAATATTATACTTGAAGTTCTAGCTAAAGACAACAAAAGGAGATCAAGGGGATCCAAATTGGAAAGGAAGAAGTCAAACTTTCTCTATTTGCAGATGATATGATAGTTTACATAAGTGACCCAATTAACTCTATGAGGGAACTCCTACAGCTGATAAACATTAAAATCCCACCACAATTATTCACTGACCTTGAAAGGATAATGATCAACTTTATATGGAAAAACAAAAGACCCAGGATAGCCAAAAACAACCCTGTA